GGTTGCCATTTTTGAGTGGGGCCTCAGAGCCAGATGAGACCACATCCCAACCCCACCCAGTGTTTTCCATGAGGTTAGCCCAATTTGGGGTCATAAAGGCTGCAGTGGTATAGGAAGGACACTGGACTAATATAGGAGATCTGGGGTCACTTCCCAGCTGTTTGATCCCCTGGTGACTTCCTGGCTATGTCACCTGGCTATCTGGCCTGGAACCTCACACAGCAAGTGAGTGAATGAGTGTCAGTGACTGTGGGATGGACCACTAGTACTAAAGCCAGATAGACCTGTATTTAAATCCCAGCTCAGCCTTTACTAGTGCCAGTGTCTTGTACAAGTAATTTATAAATTAGGTTAAACATTCTTTAAAGGCAGGGACTAAAGCTTATTCATCCTTGTATCCCCCTACCTAGGAAACAATAGGTGCTCAATGTTGAATGAATGAACCTCTTTCAACCTTGGGTGTAACTGTGAACATTAAATGAGAAAATTAGTATCAAGCCCAAGCATTTAGTAAGTGCTCAGTAAGTGTAAATGATGATGATGGTGGGACTCTAATGTTAGTGATGTAATATCAGCTTTTTTTGTGCCTCAATTTCCTTCACTATAAAATGGAATAACAATTGCTTTATAGGATCACATATTTGTAAGAAATTAGGATAAAATGAATACAAAGCATTTTTCCCTCCCATGGAAGTTTTTACCTATCTCTATTTTAGCGCTTGTTATACTGCATGACAATTACCTTTCAATTGTTCTCCCACTCAGCACAGTTGCTGGAAAACAGCAGGTGCTCAATAAATGTATGACACATTAATAGCCTTTGTAATACATAGAGAGTAGCATAATCATGGAAAATGACACTATACAAAGGTAACTATCCATTTTGAAGGCAGTGAACATTCTAGTAATGCCATAAAGAATCTTTCTAAACAGAAAGCAAGTTTACAAACTGTGCATTTAATGCCAATGCATAAATGTATTAATATTCTCCTGTCCTTGCCAATTTCTGGGGGATTTCCCATCTACAGAGTCAGCATTTCAGATCAGTGTGCCTTATAGATTGCACTTCACATCTTTCCTGAAGTGGAAATCATTTTTGGCTTTTGTCCAAGATTCTTACTTCTTTAGTTTTATTTAAACGGTTTCTAATTTGGTTTATTTCATAAATTACATCAGTATACTGATCTTCCAGGTCATAAGTAAAGGTATTTCCCTCACAAAAGCCTACTTAGAACTTCAGAGCAGTTCAGACATTTCCATCCATCACCCATCACCTTCTCTCACTTCCAACTGGTCATCCAGTCCCATGACATCTTTTTAGCTGAGCCAGATATGAGCAAACATTTCAAGAATCTTTATGAAACTTAAAATGGAGCTAATTTACTGTATTTGTAAATTTTGCTTAAAAATGAAATAATTAAGGCCCTCTCAGCTACAGTAAAATGTGGACATTGTGAAGGAATAAGACTGATACGCAGCCTAGTAGAAAATGACAAACATGCTCAGGTATTGATTAGCACAAAGCTAGGGAGTAGCAAGGCAATGCTTTTTGACTCATTGTTGGCAGACATGGCAATCAATCAAATCGTACCAAAGTTCTGAATCTTTTTCTATGTCATGTGAAACAAATTACTCCTATGCAGCAACACGCAAGTCCTGTTGCCTTCTCTGCAGCTCCGTTCTTCTTACCCACTCCTGAAAGCACTTTCAAATGAAAGGGAGCTAGATAGCCATTCACCTGGGAGAACCTGGAGACCACGCTAATTTTTAAGTTACTTATTGGCAATACTAGCACACACTGGTAACAAGCTGATAGTAATTAGTTATAATTACTATAGACCATCTTTCCATCTTGCGACTGATTGCAACACATTAGTGTGTTATAACTCTGTAAGAATCGTCCAGAAATGTTAAGATAGTTGAATAGAATAGATAGGCACTACTATGGTCTGAATATTTGTGTCCCTCCCAAATTTATATGTGGGAATCCTAATGCCCAAGGCGATGGTAACTAGGAGGTGGGGCCTTTTGAGAGGTAATTAGGCCACCAGGGTAGAGCCCCGTGAATGGGATTGGTGCCCTTATAACAGGCCCCAGGTTGCTTTCTCACTCTCTCACCATGTGAGGACACGGTGAGAAGGTGCCGACTATGTACCAGGAGGCAAGCTCTCACCAGACGCTGAGTCTACTGGAGCCTTCATCTTGGACTTCCCAGCCTTCAGAACTGTGAGAAAAAAATTTCTGTTGTTTATAAGCTACCTGCTTGTGGCATTTTGTTATAGCAGCCCAAATGGACTAAGCCACCTGGAGTGCTCAGCCTGCTACCAGGCTGTTTCGTCTGGAGGGTAGATGTTTATTTTCCCTGGTAAGCTTGACTGTTTTAACCCAGAGTGTAGCTTAATGATTTAAAAAATCCATCTGCCCTGCATTTTGCTAGGCAATCCAACTCCCCTAGTCAATTTAATTTGCACGCTTTTAGTTGGGTTATTAGAATCGTAACGAGTGGAATGGAGTCTCAAATTTAGCTTGCTCTATAACCTGACTTTACAGGAAAAAAAAACATAATTTCAAAATCCTATTAGCTCCTGCTATGTAATAGCCTACCCCAAAATTTAGTGGATTCAAACAGTTTTATTATTTCTCAAATATTTATTACTGGTTGAGTGGTCCTTTGGGCTGGGCTGGCTGGCAGGTTTGGAACTGGAAGGTCTAAGATCACTTCCCTTAGGTCTCTGGGCACTCAGCTAGGAATTGATTTCTGGGACAGCTGGGGCCTGCCAACGACAAACAGAGCTGGACATTAGTTAAAGGCAGTAACAAGAGATTTTATTTAAAAACTACTGCAGTGGGGGAAGAACCCAGCTCCATTCAGATTTGCAGAGGGGTGACTGGGTGTTTTAAAGGGAGAATGAGGGAGCAGGGAGAAGGAGCAAGTAGGGGCTCAGCACATTGAGGGAGGTGAAAAATTTACCAAAAACAAACAAACAAAAAACCCAAAAAAGGGTAGAGAATTGGTCAACATAAATGCAATCAGGCCAGCTGTGTCTGCTAATAGGCTTATCAAAGTCAGGCTCCTACCCTCCTGCTGCGACTGGGAGGCAGGGGCCCTGGCCTTCCTGATGATTGCATTGCAAAGGAAGGGTCTGCAGGTCCCTGAGAAAGACACTTTTGGGTTGTAGGAGATACATATACATCTCACAGGGACAGAGGAAGCATTCACAGTTGTAAGCTTTTTTTTTTTTCTTTTAAATTTAAATAAATGCTCTAAGAAGTGAGGTCTAGGGCTTGTCTCCAGGTGTTGGCTGGGACAAACTAAGTTGTTTTGGCAGCCTTACACCTTTTCAGACAGGAACTCAAGAGGGTGGTGGGGGCTACTAAAAGCAATGCTAGAGGTTAGTAAAGGCCCTTCTTAGTTCAGGGGTTTGGGCCGAATTGCTTCTGCACTTCTCAGGCAGGCTTCTCTGCACGTGGTACATCATCCCAGATGGGAGACAAAGCAAACCCCAGCCACAAGTACATTGTAAACCTCTGCTTGCTTCATGTTTACTAATATTTCCTGGGCCAAAGAAAGCCAGATGGCCAAGCCCAGATTCAAGGGGTGGAGAAACAGATTCCCTCTCTGGCTGGAAGGAGCAGCATAGCTTTCTTGCAGAGGGGCGGGAGGCATCATTGCAGCCATCTTCAACAACCTACCAAAAATTCTAGTCCAGCGCCAGCCTGGCATTTCTCCCGAGCCCCTATTTTCCAAGCAGAAAAAAAACACAAAATTTTAATCATATGTGTATCTCTGCTTAAAGCGTAGTGCATTCTGGTCATTTAAATAGTCTGTTTAGGTAGATTGAATCTCTGAAATAAAAATACTCTTAGCCTCTGCTCTTCCTAATTCTCTCACGGTGTCTAGTGGCAGAGAAACGTTGGGTCTAGCTGCTGTTGGTCTGTTTGGGTCTTGAACATGCCACAGTGTGATTGAGATACCAAGCCATGACCCGGCTGGAGCTGCATCAACCTGGAGAAGGGGGCACCTCTTTCTAATTGGCCAGCCCAGAGGGGTGCCTTTTGCCTTCCCTCTGCCCAAAATAGTACCTTATTCTAATGTGCACAAAGACATCATCTATGCTAGCAGAGGCCCAGGGCAACATTCTCTACTTCTCTCGTCTTCTGGAGGCTGTTCCTTAGCTGGCTGGTTACATCCTGCCCTCCCGGCCCTTGCAGTAGAAGCTGTGGCTGGAGAACGCTCCTAGTCGTGATCTGACCTCCCCCAGCTTGCTGGGATCCAGTGGCACTTGCTGGCTGGATTGGCCTCCCCCGGCTCTTTATTTTTTCATTAATTTTTATGGGTACATAGTAGGTGTATATATTTATGGGGTACATGGGATATTTTGATACAGGCATGCAATGCATAATGATCACGTCATGGTAAATAAGATATCCATTACCTCAAACATTTATGCTTTCTCTGTGTTACAAATATTCCAATTATACTTTTAGCACTCTCTGCTAAGGGTTTCAAGTCTGAGTTTTCTTTTTATGTGCTAAAAGAAGGGGTCAATTTCCAGATATGGAAAATTGTTTCTCAAGAAAATATCCTGGCTTGTAAGACTATCTTATTGCATAATTGTACCTTGTACATCAGAAGCTATCAAGTTCCTGTTTGGTGGTTTTTCTTTTCTTTTCTTTCTTTTTTTTTTTTTTTTAACATAAATGCTAATCTCCACGACCTTTTCCTGGGAGATGCTGGCAGACAGGAGGAGTGCTACTCTGAATGACTCTAGCCCAGACCTGATAAAGCAGAATCTTTAAAAACAGGGCCTAGGAATCCGGATTTAAAAAATTCCTCCAGGAGATTTTGGTGGAATCAAACCACTAAAGTTTGAAAAGTATTGGACTATGGAATGGGGTTTGTACTATTCTAAAAAATGCAGATGAGGGGTTTTCATTTTTATTTGGCCCTTCAAAGCTTTCTTTTCATGGAAGACTCTGGATCATTTGAGATGAAATCACTATAGTACCTAGTGACCTGTCCACTTTGTAAATTTACCATTTCTCAATAATTGGTCCCAAACAGCAAATGCAATAAACAAGGGCTCTTTCTCTCCCTTCTGTGTTATGGTTTCCATTGGGACTAAAGCTGAGATAGGAAAAGGAGGGTTATTCATTTGCCCTCCGGCTCTTTTATTTCGCACACTCAAAAATAGATACGGAAAAGAGGCAAGTGGTTGTGGAGTGAGCCTTAGGAGCCACCTATGCAGGACGGCTCCCAAGACCCCACGATGCTGCCATACCAGGCTGGTGTGGTGATTTTAAACAAGCCTAGTGGGAAGCAGCTGAGCCAGTATAGGAACTGGCTCCTTGACAGTCTTTGAAAGCGGGATCCAGCCCACAGCCAGTTAATTCTGCATCCAGGTGCTGAGGTACGGTTTGCGACACTAGAGGGCAGCAGAGGGTCAGGTGTCTCTGCAGGTGGCTGGGGAGGTGGACACCACCCAGGGAGGGGCTTGCAGCCTAGGGTGGCAGGGCAACGTCAGAAAAGGTGGCAGTGACAAAGAAGAGCCAAGGACACCGTCAAAACACAAGCCTCAGGGGCCAGTTGTGGAAATATCATTCCCCTCAAGGGAAATAATAGAATCCAGAACAAGAGCCACAAGAAGCCCGGATGGTGTTGGAACGCAGAGAGGATGAGAGCCAAAGTGAAGACCAGGCCAGAGGTACAGGGGTAACTCCCACCCTTGGGGGGGACACACAGCGATCTGGGGCTGGTCTCTATAGGAAACGTGGCTCTAAGAGCATGCCCAGCCCCTTGCACTGCAACAGTCTAAATTTACCCTTATCTTGGTTTTCTCTCTGACAGTAGGCTCTGCTCCCACTGCTGACTCATCTATTTCATGACAAGAAGTCTAAGGACTTAGTGACACAGCTCTTTAGCAGATCTGAAATGGAGAGCAGCTTCAGAATGGCTGTGCTGCCCAAGGCTGCACTTCTGTGACAGACCCTATGGAGCCCATCACCCTCCAGTGCAGCAGTCCATCAGCACGGGGGAGATGTGTGTACTCCTCCTACCACTCACTGGTGGGCCCTCTGGCTTTCATCGCCCTGCTCTCCCAAGGTTGCACATTTCTGCAGAGCGCCTTGGAAACGGAGCCACAGTTTCCCTTAATCTTGACCCCAAAGAAAAGATGATCTTGACCTACACTGGGACCCGCCCCTCTGCCTGCCACTGGCCTGGAGCAGCCCATGCCGGTGCAGCCTCGGAAGGGCAGGGAGATGAGAGTCAGAAGGCCTGCCAGTGAGTGATAGGTGGAGGGCACCTCTCCTGTGCTGATGTATTGCTGTGCTGTAGTGTGATGGGTTCCACAGTTAGAGATGTGGCCTTGGGCAGCACAGCCATTCTGAGCCTTGTGAAAGGGAAGATAATTTTTGTGCTGGCCCTAAGGTGCCCAGAGGTCTAGCAAACACTCTCTCCTGTTTTCTCTCCCACTCCCCTCGACAGCTGCATAATATTGTAATAAGCAAAGGTCCATCGCCTGCATACTGAAAAACAAGAAAACCAAGAAAGACACCACCTCTATTATTTCCCTTGAATAAATATTACTGCCAGGAAGCCTCCTTACAAATGACAACCATTTCAGTGACAAGATAAAGTCTGTTGGAGGAGACAGTGCCTCCATAACAGCAGGCTGGATGTGCCCTTCCACCCCTACGTCTAATGGCATCACATGGTGGATGGGATGGTAAACAAGGCCAAGGGAGAGTGAAGCAGGGGAGCTGTCTTTTCTCTTGGCAGGAAAACCTGCATCAGATGTTTAGCTAATGTTTCTGTTTAGCTTTTCAGGGACATCTAGGCTCTATACACAGAACCTCAGAGGTACTGGCCAATGAAGTTAATGCAATAAGAAAATAAAAGTCGGCCTCAGAGGAAAAGTAACCAAAGCAATTCTTTGATATACCATTAAGGAAATGACCATTTTTACATTTTTAAGAATTCTTCCAACCAGTTGTTTTAGATGTCAGCTTTAGCAAGAAGTTATCAGAATATATAGTGTCTACCAAATTCACCTTGTTTTACTTAAATATAAAAGTAGCTGTGTCCACACTATATTATTTTAGAGTTACAGTGATATATTTATGGACTTGGAAAAACTTTCACTTGAATATCAAAAAGGCAAACCACTAAATAGTTTGCATTATATGAGTCCTCTTTGGGGAGAGACAAAAGGACGTGAACTAGTGTATTAGGCAGATGGGATTATCAGTGCTTCTTGTTTTCTTCCTTTTACTTGTTGAGCTCTTATTTTTGCAAAATAAGCAATATCCTTTTGTAAAGTTAAAAATCAGCTTTCAATAGCCATAGAGAGTGTCAGGGAAAGGGCCTCTGTGGTAGAATTTTCCAGAGTCATGACATGGTCCAGGATTGCTTTGCGAACCCAAGTCCCAACAATTAGTGGGCATTTAGATATGCAAAACTTATTTCTCAAATAGCAGGCATTTCTTATAACCATCCGGAAACTCCAGGATTCCTGAGCTTCATTTGAGTAGCATTTGAAAGAGAGAGAGATGCTATGTTTTGAGAGAACTTGGATGTGAAATATTCACTCTGAGAAAAGTGTCAACAAGATGGCACAGGAGGACACCTGGCAGCCACCAGCCAGTCTGTTTCCTGTCACTCTCTGGAGCCAACAGCTACTGGGCTCCTGTGACTTGCCCTGGGAGAGTGTATTCATCTTTTGGTCTGTTTCTGCCTCACAGTGGCAGCTGACTGTCGTTCTAATGAACTTTTTACGAGGCTGGCACACAAATATACAGATAGGAGTGGCCACAGAATGGGCGAGCAGACAACGAAACGGCACTAAGTGGATGGAGCCCCCTCCGGGCCCTAGGTCAGGCCTGGGCGATGCTTCTCTCCTTGTGTGGGCTGTTGAGTTTCATCCTTCTTGGATCCGTGTGGAGCAGGTGGCTTCTGTTTCCCATTCTAGGCTCAAAGACAATAGAGACAGAGGTTTAAAATTTGGTATTAAAGAAACATGTAAACTGTTGAGTGGAGAAGCCTAGTACTGTCTTAAGTCCGGCACGAGCACCCACCTTAGAGTGATGTTGAGAAGATTAAACATTTCATATAAAGCATTTAGCACAGTGCCTGATATATCATGCCATGTTATAATAAATGGTAGCTGCTCATATTTTCTGTTTCTCATTTTTAAACATAAACCTGTTTATATTCCAAAGCTTGTTTGGAATAGTTTAAAAGTTAGCTTGATGAATTCCTGTCCTATGGAGACCTGAAAGTTCTTAACTATCAAATAATGCTTAATTTGATGCCCCGGGCATAGATTCCTTTGTATTTTAAAACTAACCACCCTACTTCATTCAGATTCAGAAGTTTGGGTATTCCTTGCAATGCCATCTCATCCTGCCCATCTTAATATGGGTCTTTTTTTGTAGTTAAAGATCAGTGAGGTTCCATCTTAATGCTTTTGTTCCTTGAAATTTCCATAAGTGTCTTTATTCCTTTAGATTGTGTAGCTGTATCTTGATGGGTTTTAGATGGAGTCAGCCCAGGGAAGTTTGCTGTAGAAAAGGACTGGTGCTGATGACAGACTGTTTTCCTCTTACTGTTTAATGGCATAAAAATGAAACTCCTAGAGACAACCAGGGAGGCTATTAAAAAAAAAAAGTGCTGAGCAATGACCAGCAGTGGCAATTCATTCTGAAGATGACTCCAAGTGACAGCTTAGGTGAGTGATGGATATGTTTTTGTGTCTGCCAAGGTCTGGGTAAAAACAGTCCTCCCTATTCTCAATCCTCGTGGTTTAACCGTGTGATCTGGGCTTGTCCAGAGCTCCCACCACCCAGGTCACAGCCATTGGTGCTGAAACAGGGTAAATCAGTACCTTGCACTGGAGCTTTTCTATTAAGAAGCACTTCTTTTCTTCTTTTTCTTCTTTTCTTCTCTTCTCCTCCTCCTCCTCTTCTTTTCTTTCCTTCCTTTCTTTTCTTTTTTTCTTTCTTTTCTTGCTTTGCTCTTTCTTTCTTTCTCTTTCTCTTTCTTTCCTTTCTTTCTTTAAATTAGGATTGTTAACTGTAAGGATTACAGGAATCTAGAGCTGCTGGTCGTTGCCTTTGCCTTTGCCTTTACAGAGAGTGGTGGGAAAAATCTTCCCAAGAATGGAGCTGAGAAATGGCAGACAGTTCCCTGAGAGTATTTTGTGAGCCCCTGGGTCTGGCCCTGCCAGAAACAAGCTGTGTCCTGGTCTTCACAGTTCTGAGCTGATAAAAGTAGGTCCCAGTTGGTTTCTGTCACTTGACAACTGAGAGACCTGTGCATTACAAAGTTTACTGACCAATATTTACTCCCTCCTCCTTTGTGCGGGGCACTGTACTGTGCTCTACCTTGAGGTATTTTCATTCTACTTTGAGGCAAATGAAACAGTCTTCAACAGTAGTGAACTGGTTCCTGAGAACCCACAGAACCTAATCCTTGGATATGCAGCAAATCTTAAAAAATCAAAGATGGTCTTTTCATCAGCACCATCGGATAATTTAGTTTAATTACAAAAGCATATCTCATCTGAAGCATTGCTATTTCCACTGTGAAGCCTCCACATCAGTGCACCAGGTGCTACTTTTTTAAAAAAAAATTTACATTAAGTTCTGTGATACACGTGCAGAACATGCAGTTTTGTTACGTAGGTATACAAGTGCCATGGTGATTTGCTACACCCATCAACCCGTCATATAGGTTTTAAGCCCCACATGCATTAGGTATTTGTCCTTATGCTCTCTCTCCCCTTGTCCCCCACACCCCTGACAGGCCCTGGTGAATGATGTTCCCCCCCCCCACTTGTCCATGTGTTCTCATTGTTCAGCTCCCACTTATGAGTGAGAACATGTGGTGTTTGGTTTTCTGCTCCTGTGCTAGTTTGCTGAGAATGATGTCTTCCAGCTTCATCCATGTCCCTGCAAAGGACATGAACTCATTCTTTTTTATGGCTACATAGCATTCCATGGTGTATATGTGCCACATTTTCTTTATCCAGTCTATCACTGATGGGCATGCAAATCTTTGCTATTGTAAATAGTGCTGCAGTTAACATACGTGTGCATGTGTCTTTATAGTAGAAAGATGTATAATCCTTTGGGTTTATAACCAGTAATGGGATTGCTGGGTTAAATGGTATTTCTAGCTCTAGATCCTTGAGGAATCACCACACTGTCTTCCACAATGGTTGAATTAATTTACATTCCCACTAACAGTGTAAAAGCATTCCTATTTCACCACAGCCTCTCCAGCGTCTGTTATTTCCTGACTTTTTAATGATCACCTTTCTAACTGGCGTGAGATAGTATCTCATTGTGGTTTTGATTTGTATTTCTCTAATGAGCAGTGATGTTGAGCTTTTTTTCATATTTGTTGGCTACATAAATGTCTTCTTTTGAGAAGTGTCTGTTCATATCTTTCACCCACTTTTTGATGGGATTGTTTGTTTTTTCTTGTAAATTTGTGTAAGTTCCTTGTAGATTCTGGATAGTAGACCGTTGTCAAATGGATAGATTGCAGAAATTTTCTCCCACTCTGTAGGTTGCCTGTTCAGTCGGATAGTTTCTTTTGCTGTGCCAAAGCTCTTTAGTTTGATTAGATCCCATTTGTCAAGTTTGGTTTTTGTTGCCATTGCTTTTGGTGTTTTAGTCATGAACTCTTTCCCTATACCCA